GCACTCAGCACTCGGTAGTCAGTATATACATAGTATTTTGCAAATATCTCACTCAAATTATATCTGTTTGAGACAATGTGAGTTCTGCCACACCCCTGAGATCAAGGGCTATCTACATATTAATGCTCGAAAGCATCAAGACCAGACATCAAAAACATCGAAAGCATTGAACTTCTGATGCCAAAATTCACCCGGTATATAGTATTTGTTCATATCTCACTCAAATCACATCCTTTGAGATGATCTAAATTCTGACGGGCCCCTGAGAGCGGGAGGGTTTAATACCCGAAAGCATCGGGTCACTCGGCACTCGGCACTCGGAACTCGGAACTCGGAACTCGGAACTCGGAACTCTCTGCACTTGGCACTTGGTACTCAGCACTCGGTAGTCAGTGTGTGGTATTTTGCATATATCTCACTCAAATTATATCTGTTTCAGACAATCTAAATTTTGCCACACCCCTGAGATCGAGGGCTATCTACATGTTAATGCCCGAAAGCATCAAGACCCGACATCAAAAACATCGAAAGCATCAAACTTCCAATGCTGAAATTCACCCGGTATATAGTATTTTGCTCATATCTCACCCAAATCACATCTGTTTGAGGTGATCTAAATTCTGATGACCCCCTGAGAGCGAGGGCTATCTGTGTTTTAATACCCGGAAGCCTCAGGGCACTCGGCACTCGGAACTCGGCACTCGGAACTCGGCACTCGGCACTCGGCACTCGGCACTGGCACTGGCACTCAGCACTGGTACTTGGTACTTGGTAGTCAGTACTCGGTGATTCGAGTCTCGAGACTGAGACTTGTGATTCACAAGTCAAAATTTGAAACTAATGTGTAGTATCTTATGTATTTCTGTACTCATTTCACTGACTACCGAGTGCCGAATCGGGTCTTGGGTATCAGGTCTCGGTACTCGGTACTCGGTATTTCCAGATGACAAAAATGTATATCATCTTAAATTTGAATTTTCTTAACTCGTAAAATGTATGACTTTCCAGTTGGTTTTGAATTTTGAGTTTTGAGTCTCTTGAGTCCCGAGTCTGGGTGTTCAGGGCTCGGGTTTCAGGTTTCAGGTTTTGGGTTTTGGGTTTTAGTACTTGGTACTTGATATTACCCGACGTCGGCCCACCTGTCTATCTAATATGGACCCCACGTCGGCCCACCCGTCTATGTAATAAATAATTCACCTCACCCTCGGCCACCCGTCTATCTAATATTACCCCCCACTTCGGCCCACCCGTCTATCTAATATTTCCCTACGTCGGCCCACCCGGTCTATCTAATCAATTATTCACCGCTCCCTTGGCCCATCCGTCTACAAAATAATACTGATACGTCGGCCCACCCGTCTATATAATACTATTTGCTATACATATCTCCTCAGGTCTATATATATGTCAATCCTACTCTACATATTACCCCACATGGGCCCACCCATCTCCATAATATATTTCTCCCAGCCCATCCACTATCATCGATGATATATATAACTCAGCATATATGGGCCCACCTGTCTCCATCGGAAATAATATTCCTCCCGGTGTCCTCTTACTTAAGGGTCTTATGTACGCCGCTTATATAGTGACAACACAAACTATATAGGATAAGACTTATTGCCAGTCCTTAAGTACACGGTCTATGACTTTTCTAGTTTTCGTGGTAGATAACGTGTGAGTTCTTGGGAGGATTTATTTCAATATACCTTCTTTCCTTGTTCCTTGGTTAGTTTAAAACAATTTGATTCTGTATACTGAGTCTACGGTATGATTTGTGTCTGAGAGTTAGCGTGCCCATGTAGCGTGTAGCGTGAATGTGTAGCGTGATCGCGTCTCCCTTCCTGTAAAAGAGAGAGGAAAAATAGTATGGGTTTAAACTTAGTTAGAATAGCTGATAGATTATATAATCAACCCCTGTAAGGTAGTATATAATTGAATAACTGTTTCTTAGTCTTACTTTGAGGCTAATGAATTGCCTGTACTTAGGTTCTTACTTAATCTCACACTGTTTGAGATGAGTGAAGGTGGGAAGTGCTCCATTTATTACATGGCAAAATTGGGCTCCTTATATACCTTTGGAGGCCCTGATTACAAAGCATGAATCATCACATGGATTGGTAAGAATGTGCTTACTAACAATGCCATTTGGTGTGTTGAGTCAGCTTGTTTACTAATTTACATTATAAATACAGTGTAGTTTACAAAGCATGACGAATCATGGCATGAGTCATCACATGGATTGGTAAGGATGTGCTTACTAACAATGCCATTTGGTGTGCTGAATTAGCCTTCTTACTAAGTAGCTTATAAATACAGTTAGAAATCTTACAAAGCATGACGAATCATGATATCTACCAGTCACATGACATGCTTACAAACATGCTTGGTGGCTGAAAAGAAAGTCTGTTGGCTGAATATGCCTGAGGAAAATAGAAAGAGATGGAATGTCATAGAACAAAATAGAAATACATGAAAAATGGAAGTGAAGATTGAAAGTGAAAATACTAGCTAATAACTAAGGGGAAAATGATGGGTAACTTGGTGATAGGATACAGTAGGGTCTATTATACCATCCTTATCACATCTCTTGTGTATCTGTCATGGTATGAGTTGCATACCATGCATGACACCGGGAGTCCATCTGCTGGTACAACACCTCCGTCCGATCGCCCGAGGTTTTCAACAGACCGGCGAATTTGTCGCCCAGGGCCTCGATGCTCTGGAATATGTTGAGAGGGGTGGGCTGAGGCACTGGGTGTCAGGGATGTCGAGTAAGGCTGGGGAGTCCCGATGCTGCGCCGGTGAGGGGCCCCATGTTGACGTCAGTTGTCAATCACGGGAGTTGGCGCAGCGACATTCGGCAAGGGGTGCTGCATCTGCTGAACAGTGAGCCGAAAACAAGTGCCTGAGAATGTGTCACATACCTTGGGCATGCTCATTGCCATCAGCTGGTGCCGGTGCTCCGGCGTTGAGCTGGTTGGTTGAGGCCGCTGCTACATAAAGATATGAGCATGAGTGGACAAAAACATCAAGACACTTATGTACCAGCTTTGGGTTCATCCACACCCTCTGCATCCTCATCTGTGGAATCTTCGGGAGGGTGGCAGAACCTTCTTGGTGACCGGCGGGACTTGAGATACAGCCCGGGTGGAGCGGGTGCTCATGGGGGCCTTTGAGTGAGCGCGTGACTTGGCCCGGGGAGCTGGCGCCTTCTTCTGGGTGGAACCCCGGGCCTTCTTGTCGGCTGCTGCCGTGACCTTGGCCTTTTTCAAGGCGACCACGGCCCGAAGTTGTTGCTCCTACTCGGAGCTTGGTCGGACACAGTTGGTTTTCTTCTCGTCGCAGTTGCGACAGCACTTGCGGACCTCACCCATCTTCTTGCCGAGGATGACAGCGCAGGGAATATCGTCCTTGATACACCTCTCACACTGCATGCCGAAGATGCGCACAGAGGGCCATGCTGTGGCATCCTCGGTTGAAGAGTCCAAGGACTAGATGAAAGTCAGCAAGAGTTATAACAATGATCGGGTTAGATACTCACCTCAGTTGCATCCGGCTTTTCTATCTGCGGGATGGTGGGTTGAGTGCTTGGCCTGGTCTTGACTTTGCTCTGGGTTAAAGTTAGTGAATTGTCTAAGATTCTTTCAATGATAACACTCACCTTGACATAGATCACCTGGTCGGCCGGGACTTCATCATCCTCATCATCGCTGATGAACTCCTTGGACTTGGGAGTTTTTTCTCTCCTTAGTCCCAGCAGGCGGTGCCTTGCTCATCTTGCATTTTTTAGGCGCAGGAGCCGGCAGTTCAACCTGGTCGACGACCAGTTTGGGTGACGGGGCCTTGCGCTTGTTGCCGTTTCCAAACCCTGGCATGAAGAGGTTGTGGGGCCCGGGTCACGTTGGCGGGAGGTGGCAGGGCAGGGGAAGGCGTCGGGACCAGAATTGCTGCCACCTCTTGCTGAGAGGATGTGGGGACAGGAGGTGGCGATGGAGACTTCAGGCATTGATAACCCAAAGTCTTGGCGAACAAGGGGTGGCCCGTGGATGCGAGGATCGCCGTCCGAGACAGCATTCCAGTTGGGCAGGGCCTTCACCTCCTGCCATTTGGGCCACTCTTGTCCCGTATTTTGGCGGCACAGGACAAGAGTAGCGGCGCCAAGGCAGTGGCAGCATTACCATGCTGGACGAATGCTGGTTGCCTGAAAAAGAAAATCAATCTGTCATCCAAAGTTAAAAGTCAAACAGGGAGATCAAATGACTCACCAAAGTGACGGCAATTTCATGTGCCAATTCTTTGGCAGCCAGGTCACCAACCTTAAGTTTGTTGGACCTTTGTAGCAGGCGCCTGATTTTCTCGGTGACAAGATTGAGTTGTTGGTTGGCTTGTTGGGCAGAAGATATTGTAAAAAAGCAGTGATTGAAAAGCAGTATGAAACACGGGTGTGGGACTTGGGAGTTGAGAGGGAAAAAGTCGGGGCCAAACTTGGGATGTATATATAGGGAACAACTATTTCGGCCACACTACGGGTGGAATTTCCCGGGACCGCGTGTCCATTGTGCCTTGACCACAACTTATTATATAATAATAGAAGACCGGCCATTTCCACGGCGCACATTAAACCACCATTGTTGACCAGGGCCAACGGGTGGTCAATCCACTCTCCATCCACAAGTCCAACTGCTGGACCATTTTGCTGTTCCCTATTTAATCCATCCGTCAACCAGCACACCCTTCTCCAGCACCCGCAACATGACCACCCGACGAGTTCATTTTTCAACACCGTTGGAAACTCGTGAGCTTAATGCTCCATCAGCCGGTGAGTCTCACAATGGCACTGATAGAAAAAGAGCCCTTGCAGAATGGATGGGTGATTTTATCCCCATAGACCAGTGGACGCCCCCCAGGGTGACACACAAATTTAAAGATTTGAAATTTCGAAGTAAGTCCATCCTTTTTCGGTAAATCTTCTTTGGTAGAAATTGACCAAATCAATTGCAGGATACAACATCAGTCCAGAGCATCGGATCGAGATGCCAGAAAGTCATCTGGGTGATTCAGATCCCGATGCTTATGACAGGGCCTATTCCGGCATCGATGAGTACATTGATGAGCTTGCTGGTATGTGATCGTTGTGCGGGTTCTTCTCCCGAAAAGAACTCACCCCAAATCCCCAGCAATGTGCAGTCAGGATTGGACCCAGGACCAACACCCGGCGTCCACAGAGTCTCCAACGGTGGAGTCACTTCGTGAGGAGGAACAAATCGACCAACTCATGGATGAAGACGCTCCCTCATACAATCTCGGATGGACCCAAGATGAGGTGTCGCCTTCGGGGGAGAGTTTGATGTTAGGTAAGCGATCCAGCCTGACGGTGCAATTGGCGACTCACCATCTGATTAGATGACCGCGATGATGGACCCTGCATACACTCTTGGGTGGGGGCCAATGCAATCAAACCAGCCCGACGAAGATGGCGCTCCATCGTACGATCTGGATGGGGAGAAGAAACATCGAGCAGTGAGCTCGAACATCCGAGAATCGAAGTGCTCTTGGATGGAGATGACTCGCTGGGTTACAATCTCAGGTGGGGGTCTGCATCTGCAGTCGTCGGGTGATGCGCCTATGGAACAAGACGACACGATATCTGAGGATGGAGATGGACCTGGGTATGATCTTGGGTGGGGAAACCGAAGTAAGTACATTGGCTTCCACCTCGAGCAATCATTGACAGTTCAACTCGAGCAGAAGGGATGTCACCTTCACCTACTCCAGGAACTTCCCGCCCATGCAACCGGATGTGATAGACCTGACTGATGAAGGGGCCAACGCCTGAGTAAAGAAAGGCAAGTCTCGATATTTCCGGTAGAAGGCATTAATTGACCTTGTTATCAGACATAATCGACCTCACCAATGAAGATGAGCCGGTTTATGATCTCGGGTGGGGAGTCCAAGGAAATGGGGAGGGCAATGGTAAGTCCCTGCATTTCCAGCCCGGCAAAGTATTGACAGCGTCCATAGTCGACTCTAGATCTTCCAGCCCTCTCAGCCCCTTGCCTTCCTCACCCGGACAAATGGACTTGGACGAGGACACGGATCGGGCCTCATCACCGGAAGGTGGGTTTTTGCAAAATGTGGAAGGACGCAAGACTAACGGATACCACAGTGGGTGACATTGACAGTCAAGCCAAACAGCAGATGCTCCACACCAATCGCCGGCTCAAATCGATCAGCAATGATGTATTTAGTAAGCCAACCCTTTTGCTCACCAGGAAGATAGCTGATCATGTCAGGCGACGACCATATGCATGCCCTCGTCCAGAATGCCATGCATGGATTGAACAACTCCCGGGCCCCAGAGCTTATCCTCTGTCAAAACCGGCACTTGTTAGATATGTTTGCGGATGCACACAACCGGGTCACCAATGCCGGCAATGACATGTGCAAGTTGCACAGGCTCATACATCTTCAACGCCGGCTGTTGAAAACAGTGGACCATGTGATCAAGTCTCTGGAGAATGAGGATGGGGCGCAGTAGATGGAATATGGGGTTCGGTAGTTGACATTAGTGTACCTAAATCGCTATCATACCCAGTTGTAATATATTGATGGCCATGTTTGTACAACATCCGAATATTCACGACTTGGCGAAGTTGCCTGCATATTGGGAGTTGGGTTTCTTGGACCTTTTCGGAAGAACATCTGCTGTCTTGCTTCTTGTGCGTTTGGCGGGAGATCCTTCCAGGGGATCCTCGGCAGGACATTTCTTCCCACTTTTTTCCACCCGAGTCCTTTTCACGGGCGACCGATCCAATGCGCCATCTGAACAATGCTTTGTTACAAACCCGACTCCTTAACAGGCTTGTAAGACGCTGGTTGTTCGACTGACTTGGGATTACTGCGAACCATACCGCCGGGATGGGATGCAGGCCCGACCCTCCTGGGTTTCTCCACAGGAGTGGGCGGAGCTCTTGAAGCAGATGGCTCTACTGTTTCCGCCCCATCTACAATGCTGGACAATTCACTCACTCCGGACACTGCTGCCGGTTGTGCGCCAGACTGTTCTTGAGGAACAGCATTGTCTTGTTTCTTGGGAGCAGCAGCATGGGCCTGGCTCATAACAGCAAATTGTGCACGAGGCTTTTTCTGTGGCACCAGCTGACTCCCGTCGTCCATGCTAGTATCCTGTTCAGTTTGGGGCGCCTTTGTTTTTCTTTTTGGCTGAGCATCTGTCCTCCCGGATATCCTTTTCATCGGTTTAACAGGCTCGTCGGTCCCATCGGATGACTCTTCAGACGAATCCAGCGCATTGAACTCGTCCTCCGAGCCCTCTGTGTTCACCCGAGATTGCAACTTCTGTGTCGGTTTTATCACCTTGGTCGACTTTGCCCTTGCCTGATCAAATTCGCCCTCAGAGTTGTCGGAAGAAACTATCACCCAAGTTGTGGGCTTTCCTCGGGTCAATGCAGCCTTGCACTTCTCTCTCAACTTCTTTTTCAGCCGGCCGTCCACTTCAGATGAATTGATCCATGCTACAGGAGGTTTGATATCCTTGTCAGATTTGCTCCACCACCCATGGAACTCAAATACAATATCCTGGCAGTTCTCCTGTCGGTTGTACCAGAAGTCCAGTAACTCGGTTGCCTCATCCCGGTTCATCCTTGATGGTTCCCAGATTTTTCTCCCCTCGGGAAGATATGGTGGCGGAATAAGCTCTTCTTGTCTAGGGATGACTTCTTTCCAAGGCACCGGGTCCTTGGGTTTTCCACTACAGTCCTCTGTGAATGCCATCAGATCATCCCATAACCCAAAGGGATTGACTCACGATAATGCCAGTTCAAGAAAGCTCGGACAACAGCCTTCCGGGTGTCGGAATCCATGGTTGCGTGGTCCGGAAGGATGGGACATCCATTGTCACCTATATCAAGGGTGTATGCATTGTTCTTCCGGCCCTTCTTCACCACAGTATCATCTTCGATGTCAGCATCTTGTTGATTCGTGGCCCGTCAGTTTTCTGCTACTCCCGAATGTGCCACGAATTGCTCACCGAACTGCCTGCCAGCATAAGATTCCCACTCCGGCAATATAGTCTGCCAGTCAGAGGAATTCGCGAAGCTCTCCCATTTGCCAACCTCGTCATTGTAGTCATGGCTGCAAGTTTTTCAGACTTGTTTGATTTGACCCGTGATTTTGCTCACCCAGACACCATGAGTTTTCCTTTCTTGGTCTTCCAGGCAGAAAGCATGAACAGTCGCATTCCGGCCTTCTTGAATATCTCCTTCGCTACATATTGGAGAATCTCGTCGCTCTTGCACCTTGCTGTGTCAGCTTGAACCTCGGGTGGAACTCCCTGCTTGTTCCACTGCGCAGCCATCTCGGTTGCTTCCTCAACCTCCTTCTCGGTAAGAGAATTCACCATTTCTGTCAGATATCTGGCGTAATAATTCATCATCCCCTGTTCCCCAGGCTTCGCCCCAGTCTCATCCTCGATTGTCTTCAGCAGCTCCTTCTTCCTCAGCGACTCTACCACTGACCAGTACGTCCACTTCCTCCCTAGATTGATGGGAGGTTTTCCATCCTTCTTCTCTCCATGATTCTGCCGCCATTTTCGGTAGACCTAGACAGCAACCATCTTAACAAGTGCCCGGGGGTTAATGGTAAGTCGTACTCACTTTCTTCCGGGACCTCAACAGCTTGGCATTCATGGCAGGTGCCTTCAGCTGAGCCTCTGTTGTGGCATCCCCCCAGACTGTATTTCTCTCTTCACCCGAAGTGGAATTCCATTGGTCAAGGTAGGCCTCTAGCACGGCCATCTCTTCTTCATTCAAAGGCAGCTGCTCAGGAGGCCCTCCATCCGTCTCTGAGTCATTTCCTGCCATGTAAGAAAGATGTAGGAATAATAATAATAATAATAAGAAGAAGAAGACAGAAGGGAGCAAGAAGAGTCTTGAGAGAAGTTTAATTTGAGCATCGTTGTTTTGTTTAGGGTTTATATAATTAGTATCTATGTGGCTACAAATAAGCGATTGCACTGGGTCTCGACTGAAAAGACTAGTGCTGTCTGGTGCAATTTCATTAGGAATCATTAAGCATTTGGCTGGTAATATATTGCATACAGTTTGAAGGGCTTAAAGCACATAAGGTTTCTCTGTGTCATGCTAACAATCCTACTAGTGAAGACTAGTGTTTTCCGGTACAATTTCATTAGGAATCATTAAGCATTTGGCTGGTAATATATTGCATACAGTTTGAAGGGCTTAAAGCACATAAGGTTTCTCTGTGTCATGCTAACAATCCTATTAGTGAAGACTAGCGTTGTCCAGTACAATTTCATTAGGAATCATTAAGCATTTGGCTGGTAATATATTGCACACACTTTGAAGGGCTTAAAGCACATAAGGTTTCTCTCTGCCATGCTAACAATCCTATTAGTGTAGGCTAATTTGTCTTGACCGTGATTTGTTTGTCTTCATATAGTTGTGCTAGGTCATTGCATTCATCTTCCTAATCATTCCATAGCCATGTAATTTGTTATGATATACTATTTCATTGATAATGATGAAAACCTTGTGTTGCTGTTGAAATTCCAGCATTGAAACAATAATAGCCGCTTTAGCGACGGTCCTATTAAATGCAATAACACATCAACTCTTGACCTCCATCATCTCACACCTCAGAATGGCCAAGTCAAAGCCAAAGGAGGTCACGCCTCATGGAACCGCCCTCCTGGTGAAATGGGAGCAGAAAAAAACCACTCGAGGGATGAAAGGTCGGTGGGTGCCAGACAAACGGATGAACCCACGGAAATCAGTGCAGTCTTCACCAACAAAGTCACCTACCAAGCAGCCTTCGGAAGATTTGATGCATAGGTTCTCTTAAGAATTTGAGGGAGGCTATGAAGAACTAGGCAGCATCAATCCCATGCGACTTCCGAAGACCCGAGGGAAGAAAAAAAGGACGACCATGGCAAGTCAAATACTCCTAACCTTCGATGTCTGACTGCTCTGATGTTGAATCCAGAGTCCAAATGAATATCTTCGGCAGTGGAAGTTTAGAACCCTAGATTATCTGAACATCCTCCTCGAAAGGGAAGCACCACCTGCCGATAGGGTGTGCTGTTTGTGCGACAGCGATGGAGCCCAGAAATGCCACGACTGTATCTCCGAGCCGATATTCTGTACCAAATGCTGCCGGACGCGACATGCACTGCTCCCATTCCACCGGATCAGCCAATGGAATGGGGATTTCTTCGAGAGGACCACCCTGACAAAGATAGGGGTTCAGATTTACCTCGGCCACGCCGGACAACCATGCCCTCACCACAACTGGGAATGGGAGGACACGGATGACAAGGGCCGGTCTGCGGCAGGAACATTCTCCAATGATGCATTCTGAGATGGGTCATGTGCATCACCCTACGCAGGGGTGCCGCAAGGCATTGATGAAACGGGAGTAACCGATGTATTTACTGAGCCAGACACTGCTGAAACTATTGAAGATGTGCCCCCGGTAAGTATGCTGCCTGCAGGTACAGTGATCAACCGCTCCTTTGGATGGTGAAATGAAGAAACGAGTGTAGTAATATGAAATTTTCAATATAAAAAAAATGGTCTGGTACGTCTGACAGAGCAGGCTTTTATCTACTTTCTACCATGTTTTTTAAAATATCCTAAGTCCTGCGTGGTTTGCAGCACTTCACGCAGTCGAGCAAGTCATTTTCTCGCCTTCCCAATTGGTTTGTACAGTCGGTGTGTAACAACGTGTCACACATGTCACATTGCGCTGTTCATCCTACTCGTCATCCTCGTACTCGCTGTCATCACCAATCGACCCTTTGTGAATGTCAATGAACTCTCCTTGATCTTGCCCATCCTCTTCATCAACAATTCCACCATTTTTCCTTGGATTCTTCGGCTTAGGACAAGGCTTCTCGAGTGGTCCACGGACAGGCTTCTTCCATTGTGGTTTTCGCTTTTCTTGCTTCGCCAGCACTTGCTCGGCCTCCCACTCTTTAACGGCTACCTTCCACTGCTCAGTCTTGGCTTTATTTCGATTTTTTCTCACCTCATCCTCTTGAATCCACACTGTCATCTCTTGTGTTCGTGCCTCCCGTGCTGCTTTCCTTGTTTCCTTCTCGGCTGCTTTTGCCTGTTGATGCTCCTGGTATTGCAGGACTTTCTCAAAGACCTCATCACTGGTAAGTAGCCTTGGCATACCATCTCCATTTAACTTGATATTGTCACTGTCCTGACAGCCTTTCTTCTCTTGTGTCTCGAGATGACGGCGAACTCGATCACAGTAGCGTCCCTGGAGAATTACAGTCGCTTGAAGGGCGCTTACATGCTCTTTGAGCATTGTGACCTGCTTGGTGAGATTTTTGACTGTCTCCTCGAGCTTTTTTCTCCCTCGTTGACTTTGAGGACACGTTGCAGTGCAACCTTGATTTTGGTGCACGTTTAATGGGTGAGATTATTGCTAGTGGCATGGTAGGCAACCTTGAACTTGATTTGATAGGAGATGATGATATAAGGAATCGAGCAGATGTTTCTTCAAGTCGTGCGAAGACATCGTGAATGGTTCTACCACCAATCTGAAAAGGATTATTGTTCTCGTAAGTGTTCTCATCTGCTGATTGATAAATTATTGATCCAATCTTCAGAATTCAAACAGTGAGAATTACCTGGAGTTGTCTCGTCATTACTACTACCATCTTCTTCGGCAATTGTAGCAAGCTGTATACCACAATTACGAGTTCTTTCCCTGGGTTGCAGGTCTCTAAACAGCTCTAAAACGGCTCGAACAGGTGATTCCGGAGTGATTGGGAGGTGTCCCTGGTTAGATGATTCACGAGCAGGAGCCAACATCTCATCTGTGACAACTTTAGGATTGAAAGGCCATACACCGGTTTTTCGGAACACGGATTTAATGGTCTCTGGCGTGAGCGCGCGAACATGGGCAGCACCATAGATAGCAAGGAAGTTGCTCTTCGTAACTTTCTCTCCTTTCTCGTGCTCCCATTTATCTCGTTCTTCTGACCAACACTGTTTAAGGACACCGAACACTGCAACGTCTAGGCCCTGATAGATGTGGGTACTGTGTGCGGGATAGCAAAGGACATGAATTTGGTGCTGTCGAGCATACTCCAGGAATGCACGAGTGTAGTGAGAATTATGCCCGTCAATGAGAAGTAGGCGAGCACGACCATTTGCCTTTTCACGTGTTTGCTCATCGAATTGCTTGATCCAGAGTGTACCAATCTCACCGTCAGTCCAACCCTTCTTTGAATAACCAATCCTACGAGGAACAATGTTATAGGTGTGATTATGGCATAAGATAACACATGACTCACGATGCTTTGAGTGGATTTTTTTCGTTCCACTTTGATTGATATGCCTTTCCCTTGAAGATCACTGCGGGTGCAATTGTACTCCCATCTGCGCAGATTGTGACCAAAACAGTAATATTTTCACGACTGCCATTTCGCTGCTGATACTGGACTTGTTTTCCAGCTCCACCGAGAGCTCGTTCTTGTGAGCTTCCTCCTCCTGGTTGAATTCCAGTCTCATCAACACCCCAAATACACTCTGGTGCCATGGGTTCACCATTGTCACCACTCTCCAGGACATCCTTCAACATTTCGAACCATGCATTGTTAGTTGTTGGGTTCACAGCACGGCCACGAGCACCATCAAGTGAATGTGCTTGGTAAGCTCGTAGATGCTCGGAGTGCTTCTCAACGAAACGCTGAGTCCAGTTTTTTCCCACTCCAGACTCCGGGAAGGCATCTCCAAGTCGAGCTTGACAGATTTCATCAACATGTTCCTTGAGACGCTTGTGGCTAAGCGGAAAGCCACGTCTAGCCATTTCGACAATGTATTCGAGAACTTTGTCTGTTTCTGTGGGTGTGAGCCAGCTTTTCGTGGAGCTATTGAATTCACTAAGCCAAACTCCTCCCTTGGCGAGATTTGCCAGAGTATTATGATTTAAACTGATTAATCGTCCCGTTTCTTTGAGGTATGCCTTCTGAACATCCATACACACTTTACGAAGGCCTTGTTTCTTCTCCGAGCTCGGTTTTGCAAGTTCAGCTTGGTACTTAGCCACAGCACGAGCCATGACTTTCTCTTTCTCCTCACGTGAGACCTGTGCCTTCTTCGTCAACGATTTTGGCCTCCCAACCATGTTGAAAGACTATATGGGTAGTTAGAAGGTATATGTTGAATACTGGCAGTGAATGAGGGATGTTGAGCAAGACTGAGTCAAACCGGCACCTCGTGTCCAAGCTTAGTCTGGGTAACAAACTCATACCATCACTCGTGGATCACAACGTGTAGTAGCACTAATGAAACTTTGACTAAAATCATCTCCACTACTTCCAATACATTTGTAATGCTTGCAGATGAAGTGGAAGGGGTGAAACTGGGTGCTTTTTGATGCTCGTGAAATTCCAACATATTGCTCTGGAGTGATGTTTTGCAGATTCCGATGATTTTCTAAATTTAAGAACTATATTTTTGGTACCATTACATAGCAGGACATATCTGAACATTATGATATAGGATTTGAAAGGAGTCGATGAAGAACTTGTCGAGGAAATTAAATTGTACAGTGGAGTGGTGGTGTACAAAGGACCGTGGGATCACTGTAAGACCAGTATAACAGTGGTGGACATTTCGGGTGTTCACACCTTGTCAATCCGGTTCTGTTGATGCCCCGATGGCCAAACTCTTGACAAGCAGCTGTTCAAAATGGGACTGTTCCCAGCATCGTTCACCTGACCAAAGACAGCATTCACCTTCGCCTTGCTGGACGATTTCATTCTGGACAATCTGGAGTGCGGGACCACTACCCTGAACTATTACAGCAAGCTTAGGCGCATCACATCCAGCATGTTCCCTCATCAAGTGCCGGTAAGAATCAGCCGAGTCCTGCTGGCCATGAGCTGAAACTCGGTAGGACCGATATCGGGAGTTGATGAGAGTAGCAAGACAATGGTGGCAGCTTAAACTTCTGAAATGGAATGGACTCGGTCACGACAGGAGGGACCCGAAAGATGGGGATCTGGCACTTTTCTGCCCTGCATGTCCACAACCGGGCATCAACGTCACAATACCAGCCGAACCCAATGACACGAGACCCGGATGGCTTTACACCCGGTCATTGGTGATGGACGGCAATTTCAAAGCCGAGCATCTGCATCCTGTGCACCTGGATGATGAAGTATGGCTTACTGACGGCCGATGCTTCATGGTGGCCAGGGAGAGATACCAGGCCCATCTCGCTCTCGCCAAGGATTCGGCCCAGAGGTCGGAATGCAACAACCATAGAGCAGTCAACCAGGCCAACGTGTCTAGGCAAAAGCTGGAAGCCACAGGAATTGGGGGATGTGCATGCGCCAGGCACGGGTGCTTCGTACCCAATTCAATGGTGGATTTTCAAAAGGGTGAAAGGTATAGGAGCCCAATTTGCATATGTGGGCAGGGCTGACTGATTTTCGGGAGTAGACAGATGAACATGGACTATGCGCTATGCAACACTCTGGGTCACAACACAGATGGACTGCGCCAGGCATTGACGTTCTATGACATCAATTGCCAGTATAACAAGCATCTCTGGCGACGGGTTGACAAGAGCCTCCATCTAACCATTCCAAAAGGAATGGCCATCACCCCGGGGATCGGGCTATGGCACATTCATGGCCACCAGGAAAAGTGTTTTGTGCGTTATGCATCGAACTTCATCCCGGTTGCAGCCCAAATAGATGGGGAGATAATGGAGACTCTGTGGGCAAATCTCAACATAATCTCCCCATCAGCCCGGGGCATGTCAACTCCCCACCAACAGGAATGCCTTGACTATCAGATGAACGACTGCAATTTCATGAAGATGATTTGCATGGGTGGGTCGTTTGATCAATGATATGTTTGGATGCGCACCGCTAAATCAATGTTCATTTCCGACAGGGTTGTTCTTGAGCCGGAAATACAAAGAGGCCAAACAAGGCCTGGCCGAAAGCAGTCGGGCATTTGATGCTCTGAACAATGCAGCAGAGCCTGAAATGGTCAACCGATGGGAGGTTCAAGAGAGAGAAGCCCAATCTCTCCGAATAGATGACCCGTCTGCCCTTGATATATACGACGTCTGGATGCAAAAAGGTGGGTGTCGGGTGTTCCGGCAAATTGTGGCCGGCATGCTGATGAACTATGCCTGCAGCGCGATCTCGGAAGGAGGTAGAGCTGAACTTATTACAGAAGTCCTTCCATCGCCCAGGAGAAAGACCTTGGCTAGGAGCGGCCACGTGGCTTGCCTCTGGCATTACGATTGAGGAGATGCAGATAGCCCTGGCAATGGAGATATGGAAGATGGGCAGGCATCCCACCGAGACTCAAATGCTGCAGATAAGCCATCGCCGGCTAAGGCTGCAACACTCTATTGACGAGTTCATCGCAGGAGCAGACAGGTATCTCGGGGAGGAATACAATGAGGATGATTGCATCCCTGACATGGATATTGATTTCATGGATGATGGACATGGTTCCGGCTGGGATGATTCGGAAGATGATTCGGCACCAGAAGGACATTGCCCGCAGGTTTTGTTTCGACCCGAACTAGTTACGGTCCCTCTCCCATCCAACTTGGGTCTGGATAGGTGCGAGGAGTTGGGCATAGGCAGTCTGGTCAGACAAGAGATCACCCTCAGGGAGGGACAGGCCAACGACATGCTGCACACGATCAGAGTCCACCTAGCTGACAAGGCCATTCTGTTCAGGACCACCGTCCAGCCGGCAAAGTCTCAAGTTGCCACCACCCGGGCTTGGTTGCAGGTCCATTTGGTGGAACGGGTCATCAGTCTCAACAGCACAATATACAAGAAATGCAGAGCACAGCTGTCAAATCTTGGGGCGGTTCAGCTGCTAGATAAGTACCGGGAGTTGGTGAAAAACGACCTGAAGGCCACCTCAGCTGTCGCTGATCCAAACGCTCGAGGTCAGAGGAATTCCACCCTCCCGTGGTTTTGGTCTCTAGATGTTCAAGGCGATTCGGTCAACAATGACTGGATGAATGAATGTGAGTCATTTGGTTTCGGATGTTGTGTCCGGCTGACGAGTGCTGGGACCCGAGTTTACCGAGTGCATTGGCTTCGCACCAAGGCCTTGTGTGACTGATGGGCCGAAGAGCGTCTTCTCGTGGGGCACGAGATGCATTGGACAATTGATTTTCTGGTTCACAAAGCCCAGACATGGCTCAGCTGAACCCACCAGAACGGTGATCCCAACCGGGATGGGCACAGGTGCTATGCAATCAGACAGGCACAGATGTATAGACTATTGGCCAAGGATGCTCACGCCCGCTTTGCGGAGGTCAATCCCACTTTTGGCCACAACTCATGACTATTATGTTGCAATGTATTCAAAGTGGTTGGATGTGTTCAATCAGAACCGGTGATATTGATGTTTGATTTTTGCCACAACACGCATGATAAGGTTTAATCTTTCATTTCAGCTGCATTGATCACCCAGTGGACCTGTGACGGCCTTGGCCACAGATGGGTCTAACTGGGTTTGAACTCAAGACTATTTATACCAACCATGTAATCACGGCATTCCTAACTGCATACATCAATCTCCTCACAACACTGCTCCTGCCGGCAAAGTCATGTCATCAACCACACCCCCCGCATATGTAAATAAATCCGCACGTGTCGTCATCTCCATGTGGGATTTGGCAAAGATCTTTGAATACGCCACCTGCCGCTTTACCTCCATCCACTTGGCCCTGGACAAAAGTGAAGTATCTCGGACCGTCATGTTCCGAAAACTCTTCGTCCAGCACCTCGTTTGGGAGGCCAATGTGAGTATTTAGATGTCCCAGATCTGTGTTTCGGCCGACTAATCTGCTTCACAGAGATTTGTATTCCCCTTCATCAACATTTGCGCCCTTATCAATACAGCCCCGGCCCTGCCTGAGTATCTGAACGACATTGTGAAGATGCTTACAGAATGGCAGGTGGGTCTTTTAGACGATGACGACCTGTTCCGCAGGTTCTGGACCCACAACATGAATATCCCAGGAGACGTCATGGCCCGCTACTGGATGGTATCGGTCTTTCCGTATAGTTGGTGGAAGGACTGGTTTGACCTCATCCCGTTTGAGATGCCCACCGCATCTCGCTGGAAGAAGTCAAGGATTTATGCTTGGCCCACATGGACCAGATGGTAAGTCCCCCTATTGAGGTTTACACCCGGTGCCAACCGCCATAGCTGATATTGATGTCAATCAGCCGGCAGGATATTTGCTCATACCAGACATGAAGAGACACAAGGGGGGCACGGATCCTCTGCTCAACAATCTCTGGGTCATCAAAGATGATCTTCAGCAATTAGGGACACAGCTTGATAGCTGGCTTTCCGCGAAGGTTGACAAGGGTAGAGGGGCTTTGGAGGCGATGGCCCGGATGGAGGGTCCAGTAGATGGCCTCCACGATGCCATGGCTGCCTCTCAAAGACTCTTGGGCACTGGAGGAAGGGAGGATGAAGAGTGATAGCTGGGTGCAATATTTCGGTAGATATTTGTGTTACATGGAATGCTGCCGGAGTTGTACAACCTTAAAGGCAATATAATCTCGGTCAATTGTAGCATTGATGACACCCGGTAACTTTAAAATCGATCATATTTGCGCCATGGCGCTATTACATCTCGGATCAACAGCATCGTGCCATGATCCAAATGCACGTGCTGAAATTTAGCGTCCGTGATGGCATCGCTTGGTATGACGTCCCATCATATTATGTTCTGGGGCATGCATGGGGCCATGAGGCTCGGCCGACTGGTGCATAAAACCATGCTGCATTCATGAGCCGCCCATTTGCCCCCACTCATCATGTCTGACGTGTCTCCAGAATTTTCGTCATATGTCAACCACATGGCATTTCTGAGGAATGGTATGAGCCACCTTCCCGTCATACCGAAGACTGGGCCTTGCATACCACCAACTTGGCCAGTGAATGGGTGGAGCAGCAATTTCTAGCTCACATTGCTGGCAGACCATTGGTGCAGCCTCCTCCCGAGTTGGACACGACGACATTGCTCTCTTGCAGGCAACAAGCTTCGCGCATGGCCGATGCATACCGAAATCCGGGTGAGTACACCCGGGACTTCTCCCATGACCGGCCATGTGCTGATGTATTTTGAATAGTCAATTGGACATCAATGTCATCTGGTACAACGAGGCGCTCACTAAACGAGAATCCAGTATGAATAGTTCCAGGGAAGATGACTTGTTGGCCAAGTTCCCTCCAACCGAGAAGATATTGTTGGACCGTCCTTCCGTGGTGATCGACTCCGTGTATAGGATAATCATTTGGTATATCCCGGATGGTCTAGTCCGTGGGTTGCAAGTGAGTTCCTCGGCAGATGTGCGCAGCTGCTTTGATTTCGATCCTGATAGAATGATATGTACATGGCCACTGTTGCTATGGGAGATCTCCTGAAGAAGAGCGTCGTGAACCGAAAGAGAGCAATTGGAGAATCCTCGGGTCCAACTTTTGACCCCACCGAATCTCCTGGATTAACCCCTGGGTGCATTAACATCGCCCCATGTTGGTTCCACAAGGACATGAAGTAGGTTCTATGCTCTTGTATCCCCTCTTTATTGATCATGCAGGCAGTGCTATGGTCTACCTCCCGAGATCTCGATGAAGGCTTTTAAACCCGGGGTGTCTGCCACCTTGAAGGGCAACAGGAGCTTATCTATGATCATGGCCATGCAACGGCCAGCACTGCTTGCATCCGCCACTTTGCGAGTCATGCACCCACAGCTCTACTGGGCTTCAGTACGGACTCATGTGGAGCTTGGCCATTGGTCTGCAGATCAAGGTCTGTGGGACATGCACCATTTTCTGAAGCACTGGGCATCTGTCTACACCGGCGCAGCTGTGATGTGCAACCGTCAGTCTCCTGACCACAGAGATCCGAGATGTCCACACGAGGCCTTCAACATCCTGACTTGCATTGGGAGCTACCGGCACACGGTTATGCAGTTGAAGAATTTTGGAATTGAGTTGGCTTACAATCCAGGAGTTCATGGTAAGTTATTCAGGCCGTCTCGTCAGACATGGCATCAGCATTGCTGAAGGTGATCAGATAGTATGGGCTTGGTTCCTCCGGGACAGCATCCACAACTACGCCCACACCCCTCGCCCAGATTATGCCAGATATAATCCAGCTGACCTTGATGCATACGAGTTGGCCAAGTACAACCAGGCTGATTTTGCCCTGTATGGCACCCTGTAGGTGCCTTTGCCAGCTTCATCCCATCCCATCCCCATTCTTTACAATAATACAATATCTAGGTCCGATATGCCATTTCCTTACATACAGAACCATCATATTGCAGAAATATTCCAATTCGATCCATTATCATCTTGCAATGTCATTTTTTCCATAAAATGTGGTGGGATGTCAAACCAACATGGGTCAGAAGATCAATGCAATGCTGAGTCGGCCACCAGATGTCACACCATCTTGGACCGTGGTTGAATTCTACATTGTCACCCTGGGTCTGTTCTACCACCGTCACCCGGGAGGTCCGGCTGTTGAATGAGATCCATGTCCAGGCCCTCACCGTCAAACACCGCACCATCGCTCTGGGTCCGGCTGTTAAACCCTGCATCACCAATCTGGACCCGGTCGTTAAATCTGACCCATGCCCAGGCCCTACCGTCAAATCCCCCATCATCGCTCTGGGCCCGGTCGTCAAACCCTACACATCACCCTAGGTCCAGTCGTTAAATCTGACCCATGCCCGGGCCCCTACCGTCAAATTCCCCATCATCACTCTGGGCCTGGCCGTCAAACCCGGCACCATCGCCCTGAGCCCGGCCATTAAATCTGGCCCATGCATGGGCCCTACCGTCAAACCCTATGCCATCGCCTTGGGCCCGGTTGTTAAATCAGGCCCCCACACCGGGCCCTACCGTCAAACCCTACACCATCACCTTGGGCCTGGTTGTTAAATCAGACCCCCACACCGGGCCCTACCGTCAAACCCTATGCCATCGCCTTGGGCCCGGTTGTTAAATCAGACCCCCACACCGGGCCCTACCGTCAAACCCTACACCATCACCTTGGGCCCGGTTGTTAAATCAGACCCTCACACCGGGCCCTACTGTCAAACCCTACGCCATCACCTCGGGCCCGGTTGTTAAATCAGACCCCCACACCGGGCCCTACTGTTAAACCCTACGCCATCACCTTGGGCCCGGTCGTTGAATCAGACCCACACACCGGGCCCTAGGCTTGGTCGTTAAATCATACCTTATGTCCAGGCCCTACCATCGAACCCTGCACTGTCACCCTGGGCCCGGCCGTTAAATACCTATATCACCATTTGGGCCCAGTGGTCAATATTCCACACCACCACATGGGCCCATCGGACTCTATCCGACTCGCTTGCACCTTCCAGCCCAACCATCAGCATCATGTACCCCTTGGGCCCAACCATCCGATCATCAAATTGTCAGTTAACACCCTTGGGCCCTGCCATTAATATCCAGGCATCACAAACATCATGGGCCCACCCATCCCTATCAGCATACACACCCACCTGGGCCCATCTCGGATGACCCGTCTCCCATGGAAGAATCTCAACCTTGGGTGTCCGTTTAACACAGGGGAAATGTTGAAAAAGTGACTGAATGGGCTCAATGTCAGGAGTGTCACAGAATTCATATGGCCTCACATGGACATATGAGGTAATGTAGGACATTCTCAACACATCAGGAGACACATAAAAACACATCATAAGGCACTACATCATGTCTTCAATAGTCATACCTATGTGTAGTATGATAGTGTGATCTCTAATATACTGTTCAGGCTGACACTCATCAAGTATCACAGGTCTATTGTACAGACTTAGAATAAAATACAATAGTCTTAACTTGATAGTCATTACACGATAGTCTTCACTTGATAGTCTAATATGATTGTTGATTACTACATAATACATAAGCTGTGAGGGTTAGGATTATTATGGAAGATATGACAGTCATGGTTATTAAGAAAGCTTATATTATGCCTAGCAAGTTAAGACTATTGAGTTAAGACAATCATATCCTTAGTCTAGTAAGCACTGTCAAAGCTTGTGACCTTCTGGTAACCGTGTAGCAAAATCATATTTTGCTGATGTATATATCTTGTGATTGTAACTTTCTTGCACCAGTGCACAGTGATTGCCTTGAGGTTCTATGCAGTTGTGACCAATTTCGAGTTTTTTTGTATTTAGAGATACATACCACTGACAGATACTGGTTCAGGGACTGGAACAGTACATTGGAAGCCAATCTATCATATTATACATAGGTGTGATCATAGCAAACCTGATGCAGTCCCTGATGATGTGTTTTTATGTTTCTCCTGATGTTTTAGAATTTTTCCCACACAAGGCTGACAACAAAAACATTGAACCTGCGAAGCTCAGACACACCCAATAAATTGTATTTTGCTCATATCTCCCTCAAATCATGTCTGTTTGAGGCAAAATATGATCCCCAACATCCCTTCAATAGTATATGCAATATATAAGGATACTAGGACAACAGGAGTTATTCCTGTTGTGGCTATGTGCTTACCCTTGGGTGCAAGGCCTGACATCAAAAATCACCTGATATATAATATTTTACTCATATCTCACTCAAGTCTTATCCGTGTGAGATGATCTGAATTGTGACAGGCCCCTGAGATTAAGTTCTATCTGCTTGTGAATGCCTGAATGCATTGAGGCTAGACATTGCAAACATGGAAAGCATTGACCTTACAATGCTGAAATACACACAGCATACGGGATTTTGCTCATATCTCACTCAACTCTTATCCATTTGGGATGGGGCTAAATTCTGCCAGACCCCTGAGATCTAGGGCTATCTGCATGTCAATGCCTGAAGGCATCGAGGCTTGATATCAATAACATCAAAAGCATCAAACTTCTGATGGTGAAATTCACTTGGTATATAGTATTTTGCTCATATCTCACTCAAATCACATCTGTTTGAGATGATCTAAATTCTGATGGGCCCCTGAGAGCGTGGGCTATCTGGGTGTTAATACCCGAAAGCATCGGGGCACTCAGGACTCGGCACTCGGCACTCAGTTCTCAGCACTCAACACTTGGGACTCATTCACCCTGTATCTTGTATTGTGCATATATCTCACTCAAATCATATCAATTTAAGACTATCTAAATTCTGATGAATCCCTGAGATCTAGGGCTATCTGCATGTCAATGCCCGAAAGCATCGAGAACTGACATTAAAAACATCGAAAGCATCGAACTTCTGATGCCAAAATTCACCCGGTATATAGTATTTTGTTCATATCTCACTCAAATCACATCTGTTTAGATGATCTAAATTCTGACAGGCCACTGAGAGCGAGGGCTATCTGGGTGTTAATACCCGAAAGCATCGGTGAACTCGGCACTCGGAACTCAGCACTCGGCACTTGGAACTTGGAACTTGGAACTTGGCACTTGGCAGTCAGTATATAGTATTTTGCAAATATCTCACTCAAATTATATCCGTTTGAGACAATGTGAATTCTGCCACACCCCTGAGATCGAGGGCTATCTACATGTTAATGCCCGAAAGCATCGAGACCCGACATCAAAAACATCGAAAGCATCAAACTTCCAATGCTGAAATTCACCCGGTATATAGTATTTTGTTCATATCTCACTCAAATCACATCCATTTTAGATGATCTAAATTCTGACGGGCCCCTGAGAGCGAGGGCTATCTGGGTGTTAATGCCCGAAAGCATCGGGGCACTCGGCACTCGGCACTCGGCACTCAGCACTCAGAACTCGGTTCTCGGCACTTGGCACTTGGTACTCAGCACTTGGTAGTCAGTGTGTGGTATTTTGCATATATCTCACTCAAATGATATCTGTTTCAGACAATCTAAATTTTGCCACACCCCTGAGATCGAGGGCTATCTACATGTCAATGCCCGAAAGCATCAAGACCCGACATCAAAAACATCGAAAGCATCAAACTTCCAATGCTGAAATTCACCTGGTATATAGTATTTTGCTCATATCTCACTCAAATCACATCTGTTTGAGATGATCTAAATTCTGACGGGCCCCTGAGAGCGAGGGCTATCTGGGTGTTAATGCCCGAAAGCATCGGGGCACTTGGCACTCGGAACTCAGAACTCAGAACTCAGAACTCAGAACTCAGAACTCAGAACTCAGAACTCGACACTTAGTGCTCAGCACTCGGTAGTCAGTATATTGTATTTTGCACCTTTCCCGAGTACATGCCCTTAATTTCAGAATGAAGTCCAGATGAAATCCAATGAAGTCCGAAGGACTTCCGGAGGCTGGCTACTCTGGTGGAGTGCTGGAGGACTTCTGGATGAGCACAGGACCCTTCCGGAGGAGTATAGGAACTTCTAGAGAAGTACAGGAAACTCTGGAGGAGTTTCACCTGCTGCATAGGGTCTGAAGATAAGACTTCTGAAGGTAAGCTTCCTAGATGGAAGCACATGGAGGAGAGACTGCAAGGGACAGAGTCCAAAGCAGGATCAGATAGGAGGAGTGGTCCAGAGGACAGGACGTCTGAAGGTTGCGCCATCTGAAAGTTCAGATGTCCAAAGGTTAAGATGTCCAAAGGTTATGATGTCTGAAGGTCATGATGTCCAAAGGTTACAATGTCCAAAGGTTTTGATATCCGATGGGTAAGATGTCCGGAGATCCAAAGGTCCGGAGATACAAAGGTCCAGAGATCCAAAGGTCCAGAGATCCAAAGGTCCGGAGATCCAAAGGTCCGGAGATCCAAAGGTCTGGAGGTCAGCAGGAGTGGACAGGATTATAGGACAGGAGAATAAAGGCTACCATGGACAAGGTCTGGAGTAGAAGCAAACAGAGGTAGGCTACACTTAGGTGGAGTCGGAGATAACAGGAAGTAGACATAAGTCTTGGAAAGACAGGAAGTAGACATAAGTCTTGGAAAGACAGGAAGTGCCAGAAAGGCAAAAGTCCGGCTTAAGGAATCAATCCTTAAGCTTGGATAGAGATGAAAGGACAAATCCAAAGGTTTGGAAGTCCAGCCTAAGGAATCCTTCAGGTTGGACTCGGTACACTTCACTTGATTTTTGATATCCGGGACTCCATAGTCAGAACTTGAGTCTCGAATCTCAGGTGTCGGGTCTTGGGTCTCGATGGTCGGGACTCAATATTTGGGACTCATTGGTCGGGACTTGATACTCGATTGTTGGGATTCAATGGTCGG